TCAGGGAATGTTTTATTTTTTCCACGTACAACCATCTACATTTATTCAAATATAATCATGTCCTCTTCTTCTGGTTGCTGCACAAGGGTGGAGGGTGGGGGTTTCACTTAACTGGGGTTTATTTTGGGGGTAGGGCTTATATTATGAGCATCTTGAAAAATCATACTAGGGCTTATTTTCAGGTTAGGGCTTATTTTCAGGGAAACAGGGTAGCAGTAGCTGTGATACAGTGCTGACTCCATTTTTCCTTAGTGATGATCAGCTATCATATGGCAATGGGTATGTTCAAACCAATATGATTAAGCAGTTACAAATAAGCAAGGTTTTTTTTTCTTTTTGGAGGGGGGGAACATGTATATAAAGAAAAAAGACTGCAGACCTCAAAACCTGATGTCAACTAAACATGCTTATCTTTAAGGATTCAGGAGAATCTGTGAGGAAATTGAAATAAATGGTAAACCTTAAGGACATTTTTTTTTAAAAAATCTTGCAGGCAGTGAGAGTAAATAAACAGAATTATATTGATAATTAAGGAGAAGGGTATACCATTAGCATCAAAGAGTTGTTCTTTATAAATGAAAAATGGGCCCTAAAAAAACAGGTTGTCCTCTGGAAGGCTGAGCACTCTTCCAGAATATTCTACCCATCATCCTTTCTCATTTCCTTGCCCTTTTCCATCAGCTAACCAGCATTCTCTTTCTCCTAACCCTTCTCTGTTTTTAATTTATTTTAATTTTTGCCCCATTGGTGTACCCCATTATTTTTAACTTTTTTTTTAAAAAAAACACCTCTTGATTTTTCTGAGAGGGCACTCTATCTTTTCAATAGGTCTTGTGCATCACATGTATGGAGGGGGGCATTCTGAATAAAGAAATACGTTCAGTATAAGTCAACGTGGTTTTCGGGGGGGGCTGTGCTATGCAAAGCTGGCAAGGCACCTTAAAAACTTACAGAATTTATTTGGCATACTTTTTCATGGGCTCTAGTATTTAAAGTACAACAAGACTATGAATTGCTTTTGTTCCAAAAAGTGTTTTAGGTAGAACAAGTCAAATCTGCAAAAATAAAAAAATATGTTGCAGTCCATTTTCCACTCCTAATGTGAGTAGACCTGCTCAGTGTTCGTTCCAGCCAGCCAACGAGTCATGCTGTCTCTTAGAAGGAGATTCCGCCCCTGTCCAAGTGTCCCATTCTTTGACTACACACAAACATAATAATAATCATGTGGCATCAAGTCGATTCTGACTTACAGCAATTCTTTTCAGTGCTTTCCAGCTATTCAGAAGTGGTTTACCACAGCCGTCTACTTGTGTTTTCCATTTCGCAGAGTGGCATTTTTTAAAAAATTGCATATTTATTGTTTTTGGTTTTAATATTTCCTTTTAGTAATGTAAGATGCCTCTTTACTCTTTGTTCTTAGCTTTAAATATTGTCTTTTAAGGATGTTAACCACCGTTGAACGCTCATTGTTTTCCACTTTAAACATGGTCTTTCACTGTTGTGAGGTGGGCGGGCAAATAAATAAATGACATTTTCCAGGGTTTTCCAGGTAGAGAATACTCAGAAGTGGTTGACCATTCCCTCCTTCTGGGGCGCCCTGGGACTGTGCAGTTTACCCAAGACCACATAGGCTGGCCCTACTCACAGGAAGCACAGGGGGGAATTAAGCTCCTAACCTCTGGCCTCACAGCCAGAAACCTAAACCAGAGAGGTATCCTGCCAGCTCCACAACACAACAAATCAACATGCAATATTCTATGGTTAAGCGGCCATCTCAGTTCTCAGTTTGCCACTTGGGGTTGATTTATTTATTTGCCCCCTTAGATTTTTTTTTTTAAAAAAAGTTTATTACAACCTGCAGGTTTTCCCACACACACACACTGCTGTTCCCTGTGTCTTGTGACCCTTCATTGCCTTCATTTGTGTTAGCACTTTCATCTGAGTTTGGAGGAGTGGCAGAGCAGACTCTCCGGGTTCTGCCAGGCAAAGTAATTCAGAATTAAGCTTTGGCGATGAGGGGATGGTAGTATGCAGGAAAGGAGGGCATTTAGAGTCCTCAGCAGCTGGTGCTCTTAAGGATGCCGGTGTCCCTTCAAACATCTTGTTGTTTTAGAAGTAACTGGGTTCCTGTAAGGAAACAAGGAAAGTATGGCAGGGACGTAAGTGCAACCTCTACCCTTGTTGCTTAAGAGCGGCGGTTCCTTACTGACAGGGCTTAAAAACACAAGGGGTTGCTGGCAGGATTAAACAAATATTTTTCTGCTCTACTCAACTGAGCATGAAGATGCTTTCTTCTTTGACACCCACCAGAGCACAGTGGAGATTCTACAATCTCTATATCTGCACTACAGTTATATCGAGTTGATGCCACTTTTACTGCCAAGATTCCATCCTACAGAATCCTGCAGTGTGTGTCTGTCTGTCTCTCTGTGCATCTGTCTGTCTCTCTGTCTGTCTCTGTCTGTCTGTCTCTCTCTCTCTGTATTTATATGTGCAGTGGTGCCTCACTAGACAGTTATCCAGCATGACAGTTTTTTCGCTAGACATTGACTTTTTTTGTGATCGCTATAGCGATTCACAAAACAGTGATTCCTATGGGGGAATTTCGCTGGACAATGTTTGGTCCCTGCTTCGCAAACCGATTTTCACTAGACGTTTTTGACAGCTTCCTCTGCGCTCGCAAAACAGGCGTTTTCGGGACCTAAGTTTCGCAAGACAGCTATTTAAACAGCTGATCGGCAGTTCGCAAAGCGGCTTTCCTATGGCTGATCTTCGCTAGACAACGCCGATTCTTCCCCATTTGACCATATTAAACAGGTTTCAATGCATTCCAATGAGGAAATGCTTTTTGCTAGACAATGATTTCACTAAACAGCGATTTCAGTGGAACAGATTATCATCGTCTAGCGAGGCACCACTGTACCTGGAATTGTAGGTGAGCAGAAATCCCTTGACTGGCTCTGTATCAGAATAAAGGGTATGGGAAGCCGCGGCCACTGCCTTTCAAGTATCACCTCATTCTGCCTAAAGACAGGGCCAAGCCTGGGTTTACATATGAGTGACTGCATCCTAGGGAGTCTAAAAACCTGGTTTAGACAGAGTTGCAGCAGGAGATGCTGCCTTGTTGCTAATATATTCTTGCTGCTACATTAGCTGTCCCATACAGACCTCATTGCATCCTAGACTGGGTTTGGTAGGCAGTGCCCATTGAGATTGTGCGAGATGAGACTGACTGGAAGCAGAAGGAGGCCTTCTCGATGTTGCCTCCAAGATTATGGAATGCCACTTCTCCCAAAGGGATTCGTCTACACTAAGCTACTCAAAGACAACCTGTTAAGGCCCAGTGTTCCTTTGTCTGTGAATTAAATTGTGTCCAGTCATAAGTAAGCCTCACGGAGTTTAGTGGGCTTTACTGCCAGGTAAGTGGGTGTGGGACTACAACAGCAATTAATTTTGCTTTTAATGTAATTTAGTGGCCAGAATCCTACTGATGTTCAGGTAAGGTTTGTTCTAATTTGCTGCAGCTGATTGCGATTAATTAATAATGTGACAAGGTATACGTCTGATGATTTGCCTGACTGTACAGCCACGAACAATTAGGCATAATTAGCTATGACAGGTTCATCTGGTTTTATAATAATTGTTTATGCTTCCGTATAGAATATTTAAGGGTTACCAAATCTGCACTTCCTGCTTGCTTTCTCTCTCTCTCTTGCATGTTGCTGTTGCTAAATTGCTTTAAATTATGTAATATTATTGGGGTCTGTTATTTTTATGTCATATGTTTGTAATTTGCTGCCAAGAGAGAAGATTGTCCACGAAGGCAAACGAAACATTATTTTGTCAAATAAATTACTTTTTGACATAGGGAGGGATGTTCACAGCAATTTGGATTTCGAGGTGGGTTACAGCAGAAGACAAATAAGAGACACTGAACTGATCAAATCAGTCAGTTGAAGAAGCCATAGGGCCTTGTTACATATTCTGCAAAATCGAGGCATCTGCTTTCCAGACTCTGCCACTTTGCAGGGAAAGCTTCGTATGGCTTTCCATTGAGATATGGGGGAAACTCCTTTTTCTGGACCTTGATTGTTATCCTGCTCGGGACTGATGGAGGAGTTCCCCAGCAACACAATGGGCACAAACCTCCTTGGGCTTAAAGCAAAATGTGAATCCCAGCTAGACCCTTCAAGCAACCCTCAAAGGATTTTAGAACACAGTTGTCTGCACTTTAACATCCTGGTGGTTGGTGGGCAAGACTTTCTGAAGATATATTGGGGTGGGGATGTGTGTGCAAAGTTTCTCAGTGGCATATTTGCATGCTATTTTAAAAAATCCTGCTGCTGAGCAAGTAAGTAGACCCTGGAGTAAGCTCCTCGAATCAGGGAGCCTTTGATGGTCCAATGCGGCCATCATTTTCATTGATTCATTGGGCATGCTCTCGATTCCCAGTGTGGTGTATGTGGATAGATTGCTGGACTAGGAGTCCCACTCAAGCAGGGAAACTCCCCAAGGGAATAGAGTGGGTAAAACCACTCCTTAAATACCTCCCTTACCTTGGAAGTTGCTAAAAGTAGGTTTTGACTGGACCGCACACAACATGTACACAGATCTGGCTTACTAGCCAAGCAGCCCGGTTTCCGCCACTGCGTTGGTCTATGGACTTGGGCATCATGCACCACTTTAGGATGGGCAGGCAAGGGTCCTCCCCCCACCCAATCCTACGGCCTATGGGTCCAGGCCAAGAAAGGTCCCTCGGGGTGCCACTCGTGGGCCAGATACCCACACCCTGACTGCCAGCGACCCTTCTAGGGGTGGGGTGGCCAATACGGCGGCCCTGTGAGCGCGCGTTCAAGACGACCTTCGCCACCAGCCCTCGGGGGGGGGGTCGCGGGGAGAGTCGCCTTGCTTGGCCAACACGCAGACCGCTCCCTCTCGCCCCCCGCCTCGGTCCGTGTGCGGGTCCGCTCGCTCTGATGCCACTTTTGGCTTCCTTTCAGATCATCCTCAACTCGATGCACAAATACCAGCCCAGACTCCATATCGTCAAGGCCGACGAGAACAACGGCTTCGGCTCCAAAAACACGGCCTTTTGCACCCACGTCTTTCCGGAGACGGCCTTTAGAGGCCTTTCTTTTATCAGCAAATGCAGGAAGCCGCACAAATCCCTGGCAAGTATCCACCTTCGGCTTACAGAGAAGCAGTTGCTGGGCCCCGGCCAGTGTTCTCAGGGTTGGGGGTGGTGGAGGAAGTAGGCCATGCTTGAAGAGAATTCCCACAAGCGAAGAGCAGGGTACAGCACATTTCTTCAGCTGATTCTGCCTCAAAACAACACAAAACAAAGCCATGAAATACAGGCATTCTGAAGCCCCGCCGATCTTTGGAGACGCGCTCCGGGAGCGTTTTGGTGCGCGATGTGCCGCCTGCATTTCCCTCTTTCAGGGAAACGGACTCGAGAGGCCACGCGGTCCCCGGGAGGACTCGGGAGCTAGCCATTGCGGCTGCAGAGGCCCCGAGACGTAGTGGTTAGAGTGGAGAACTTGGGAGGGATCTCAGCCAGCTGGAATTTCCACCGGACATCTCTCTGGTTATTTCCTCTGCAGCTCTTAGGGCGAGCTCCAGCCTATCCTGTCCTCAACGGCCCTGCTCAGTTCCTGCAGACTCCAGCCCGTGGCTTCCTTTCAGGAGTCAATCCATCTTGTATTTGGTCTTCCTCTTTTCCTGCTGCCTTCCACGTTACCCACCATTATTGTCTTCTCCAGGGAATCCTGGCTTCTCATGATGTGCCCTAAGCAGAACAGCCTCCCTTTCTCCATTTGTGCTTCCAGAGATAGTTGAGGCTTGATTTGTTCATGTTCGTATAGTCCAGTGCCATATTTCAAAGGAGTCATTTCCTCCCCCCCATCAGCTTTCTTTACCACAGCAGAAAAAGGGGGTCTTGGACTGCCCACATAGGCTGAATTCTGCTCCGAGTCAAGTCTAATCCAGTGCAGGATGTGGCCGGGGATGCCGACAAATCTTTGGATCCACGTCTGAGTCTGAATCTTTGGTACCAAGTCATGAGTTTGAGACTTTGGTACCAAGTCCCAACCTCCATGTCCAAGTCCCTCCAAGCTTTTTCTCCCCAGAAAAAAATTGTAGGGATGGGTGGATTTCAACTCGCAAGTCAAGTCCAAGTCACTGGAAGCAAAAACTTGAGTCAAGTCTGAGTCGAGTCACTGGTGCGAGTTAGTCTGACATGCCAGCGAGTCCTGTGACTTAGGTCCCTGTCCCTGGAGGCAGCCCTTTTATTTTAAAACTCATAAGAATGGTTATACACAGTCACTTTCAGTTCATACCATACTTATAAAAATGTTAATTCTAAGTATTTGGCCACTCACAATGGAAAAGAATAAACAGGCAGAGGTCTAATACTGGAGATTTAGGCGCTCTTCTGATGGTGCCAATTCATACAGATTTGAAATATCTGGAATGAAGCAGTACTTTTCTGGAAACAATCTGAATCTGAATCTAAACACATACGATGATTCATTAGCAATTGTATTTGGAGAGATGCAGAGGCAGAATTTGCTTCCAAAAAGTTATACTGTACTTTCTTCCTTATAGGTCTCCATGTACGGCAAAACATAGTGTTGGAGGAAGATAGGAGGCAGAATTTGCTTCCAAAAAGTTATACTTTCTCCCTTATAGGTCTCCATGTAAGGCAAAACATAGTGTTGGAGGAAGATAGAGGAGGGCTTCACATTTTGGGAATGCCAGCCATAGCCTCTGTTTGTAGGGATTTTACCAAGATGCAGAATTGGGAGATGTTGTTTTGAGAAACAATCCTGTTGTGTTTCTTCTTACTTGGTGGCAGCCAGGTTGCCCTTATTGTTCTCCCTGCTTCTTTGTGTTGTGGCTTATTAACATGTTGTGTTAAGAATTGTTAAGCACAATAAAACACAGGGAAATCGGCTTGGGTCTCCTATAGTGTCTGTTCCTGACACCTTGATACCAAATAAGGAACAAAACAAGACCCTTGCACTTAAGACCGCTAAAAGATTGACAAACAACTTAACGTGATGCTAGAAAGTGTTAGTTCTTGCACTGACAAAGTAAATTTGTAAATGGAACAAAACAAGACCCTTGCACTTAAGACTGCTAAAAGATTGACATACAACTTAACATGATGCTAGAAAGTGTTAGTTCTTGCACTAACAAAGTAAATTTGTAAATTTCTTTGGAAATGGAGTTTTGGTTGTATCCTCTGTACCTAAAACGAACTAGTTAAGGTGAACACATTGACGAGTGGATGGGATGAATAGTGAAATGCTTCAACCTAATTAGAAAGAGGTCCAGTTGCTATGATTCAACTTCCAGATACAAATCACTCAATTCTCCATTCTGGGAGGTCTATCTGATTTACACACACCTTACAGAAAACTGTATGTTTCTCACCTGGGAGAAAAACCTCAGCTGTAAGGCTTTGAGGCTTAGCTAAACCTAGCTCTGTGTGGATGAATAGTGAAATGCTTCAACCTAATTAGAAAGAGGTCCAGTTGCTATGATTCAACTTCCAGATACAAATCACTCAATTCTCCATTCTGGGAGGTCTATCTGATTTACACACACCTTACAGAAAACTGTATGTTTCTCACCTGGGAGAAAAACCTCAGCTGTAAGGCTTTGAGGCTTAGCTAAACCTAGCTCTGTGTAGCTTCTTATTCAGAAAGAAAGCTAATAGCTTGCAGTTGGGCAGGAGAGGAAGGTTATTCAGAGGTAAGCCCCAAAGCTGTTCAGTTTAGGCCCATGTATGTTGAGTTTTTTGCGTAAGTTTTTTGCTAAGTCAAGTAGAACTCCCAGAATGGGGAATTATTGAATTTGTAGTTCAAGAAACCAAGAAATCCCACCTACAATTATCAATATTTATCAGTTGTCAGTATTTTTTTTCACTATCTTCATGATGAAAACCAGAGAATTATAAGAAAAACCTTCAGACTTGAAAGAGTTCTCTGGTTGAAAACGGTACATTTTTGCATGCAAAATGTACACTGTGCCCAAAGCTTAGAAAAGGCAACTAGAAAATCTTGGATCATGCTGGTTAGGGGATTCAGAGAATTTCAGGCAAAAATGGAAACTATTCCAAACTTTGCAGTCTTATATGTATCACTGCCGTGCATGGCTGAAATTTTTAGATATTAATTTATTGAGAACAGTCATTTTAGCCTGTTTGACTGGTGATTTGGGTTCAGGATACATGCAAACCTTACTTGTTATTTTTCAAATTTCTCCTCCCAGATCACCCAGCTCAAGATTGAAAACAATCCGTTTGCAAAAGGATTCCGAGGGAGTGATGATATGGAGCTGCACAGAATGTCAAGGATGCAAAGGTGAAGTCTGTGTGAATGTTCTCCATAGAGACAAAGAGTTGCATTGGCTTCTTTTACTAGCCAGTGTCCCATATTTGTATTGATCTAGATGCACTCGGATGACATCTAAAAGATCTGTGGATCTTGGTGGCTCAGCAGCTGTTAAATCTTAGTCACTGCTTTCTGAGCAGTCATAGTATTTCCTTTCCTGAGCTGAGCTTCATGAAAACGGATTTGATTGCCTCACCGCAAAAGCTATTGGTGCAGTACTGATTGCCATTCTCCTGTGCTGTCAACAACTGAAGTCCTCTCAGGCACCCTTGAACAGAGCTGGAACTAGCAGTCTTTGTGCCTGGGGTTTTGCTGTGATCTTGGTTAACTTTAAGTGCTGTGGGACAGTATGTAAGCAGAACACTTTGCTTTAACTTTGGTTCATGTAAAATAGTGCCATCTGTGAAGAGAGGATGGAGGAATGGGGAAGAATGCCTGGGTCTGAATATGCAAAAAAACACACATGAGTTCTGCATTGAGCCCTCCTATTTTATGTTTCCTTCTACCTGGGGGGAAAGGCTGGAGGTGGTATATGCACTGGAGGCAGGCACATCTGTACTCTCCCAGCAGCACATTTTTGTGCCATTTGTATTTTGGATCCTCAATTCATAGCTCTTGTCATCTTAGCTGAGAATGCAGCTATATGATGGGGAAATATGCATAGCTCTGTTTGTGATCCAGTTTTTCAAAGTGGGTCTCTTGTTGGTTTCCACGGGAGAAATTGCTATAATCGCCCAGATGACTACAAGAAGTTTCTCTTTTCACTCCAGCTGCTGGGACCTTTAACATTTATTTTTACAGAATGGCTTGGCACTAAATCTTTGCAGTGCCAGCCTTTGAATCCTTTTAAAAAACTGGGGACAACAGATGCTCATCCCATAGGCACTGCTTTCTTTAGGATCAGGTATCATATGGGGCACAAATGAGAGAAAAACACTGGCATCACAGTGCAAAATTTCAACCACTTCTGGGGGCTGAACTAAAAAAAGCATGTCATTAGTTGGGACAACAGATGCTCATCCCATAGGCACTACTTTCTTTAGGATCAGGTATCATATAGGGCAGAAATGAGAGAAAAACAATGACATCACAGTGCAAAATCTCAACCACTTCTGGTGGCTGAACTAAAAAAAAAGCATGTCATTGTTTAGTTGTTAAGTTGTATCCAACTCTTCGCGACCCCCATGGACCAGAGCATGCCAGGCCCTCCTGTCTTCCACTGCTTCCCGGAGCTGGATCAAATTCATGTTGGTCGCTTCAATGACCCTGTCCAACCATCTCATCCTCTGTTGTCCCCTTCTCCTCTTGCCTTCACACTTTCCGAACATCAGGGTCTTTTCCAGGGAGTCTTCTCTTCTCATGAGATGACCAAAGTATTGGAGCCTCAGCTTCAGGATCTGTCCTTCCAGGGAGCACTCAGGGTTGATTTCCTTCAGAATGGATAGGTTTGTTCTCTTTGCAGTCCTGGGGACTCTCAAGAGCCTCCTCCAGCAACACAATTCAGAAGTATGATTCCTACTCAAAAGAGACAATTTCCCAGTGGGCTTCCCCATATTGCCTTTTTGTCATGCAGTTGCCTGTTTTTAGTTCAATTTCATCTTTGCCAGCTACTAATATCTATTATGGGTGTGGTGGATAGAGTGATGGACTAGGACTCTGGAGTGCAGGGTTCAAATCCCCATTCGGCTATGGAAACTGACTGGGGGCGTGGAAAAGCCTTGTGGCGCAGTGGTTAAAACGCTGTACTGCAGCTAAAACTGTGCTCACGACCTGGGGTTCAAATACATAAATAAACTGGTAGAAACACTCCTGAAATATCCCACTTACCTTGAAACACTTATTAGGGTTGCTATAAGTCAGTTCTGGTTTAATGGCATAGAACACACACAAAAACTATTATATAATTTCATATAAAACAATATTATAAATTTCACTATATTCATGTCAAAGATATTTGTGATGTTTTTATATGTGTCCTGTGGATGGATCTGCAGACTCTGGAAATTCTTAGATAAAACCTGCCTTTGAGGCAGCTTCAGACCCCTGCCAGATCCTCTGATGGATTGAAGGAGAGCCAAATCACAGCACAATACAGGTCATGGGAGAGGGCTAACGTTTAGAAGAGGTATCATTTTGGACTACAGATCCCAGAACCCCCCAGCCAGCAGGTCCATACAGTCTATGATTTCTAACAATACTGAATGGTGGATTCTAGGAGTTTTACTCCAAAATATCACTTTTCCAGGTTCTAGAGAAGAAATGTGCTAATAGTCGTCCTTCTTGCCAGAGAGATAAGGGACCTCCTTCTCTATTACCTGATGAATAGATGTGTGGAGGCCAGGTTAGCGTCATTTAATCTGAGCTGGTTCACAAGAATTGATATTAGTGTACTCAAGCAAGGCCCCGGAGTCAATGTTCAGATGCTGGGCTGGTTTATCAGAGTGAGAAGTAAGTGAAGTAAGACCCAACCTCATCCAAAGAAGGGATGGGGAGTGTGTAATCCTCTAGATTAGGGGCAGATAATCACGGTGGGGCTGAGGGTCATTTTCCATTTTTTTTCTCACTGCCTAAGAACTATAAACCCAAAGGAGGAAGGGCATGCCCCAAAAGGTTCATTTGCATCTTATTCATTCATTCATTCATTCATTCATTCATTCATTCATTCATTCATTGGTCACAACAATGAGTTTACGGTACTAAAAAAAGCTGGTTCTTTAAAAAAAGTTTTTAAATTGAAAAGTCCCTTTGCACTCTCTGCTGGCCCATATCTTTTTAAAATATGATGTGAAAGGTGTGGGGGGCAAAGGTGTTGGACAGCCGAAACATGGAAGAATGGAGTCACCCCTATGATGGACACAAAGGCAATTTCTGAAATTTATAAGTAATTTGGGTAGGGGGGTGGAGTGCTGTGGGGGCCTATAAAACCGCCCCTGAAAGGCCACGTGTGCTCTAGACCAGTGGTTCTCAACCTTGGGTCCCCAGATGTTCTTAGACTAAAACTCCCAGAATCCTTCATCACTAGCTGTGCTGGCTAGGATTTTTAGGAGTTGTTGTCCAAGAACATCTGGGGACCCAAGGCTGGGAACCACTGCTCTAGATTTTGACTGCAATTCATATCAGCTGTATCCAGTATAGTCAATGGTTAGGGATGGTGGACCTGAAGTCTAACATTAGCTAGAGGCAGTGCCAGTTTAAGACATGCTTTGATACTTTGTGTAAAAAGGTCCATTATAATCTGAATCCCTAAAGTAAGGATGGGTCGCTGGGACATCCAGATGTTTTTGGACTACAGCTCCCAACAGTACTCTCCAGCAAAGCTAGTTGTAATGGGTGATGGGAACTGCTGATCAACATGTTCTAGATAGCCACCGTTCCCCACCTATACCACAAACCGTATCATGTTTAGCTGGTATGTAAATTGGGCCCTGTTCCAAAGTCTGATCTAAAGACAGGACTCCATTATAATAGCATTTAGTTCAGAGTCTAAAATTATCGGGCTGCACTGATGAGACACAGAAGATACGAAACACACACAGAGACAAATAAGTACATGTATGCGCCTAGTGAATCTGAGTCATAAATATTCACATCATGTCTAATTGGGCCTTCAGGCTGTGCAACTCTGGAGTACTGGCCATTCTGTGTCTTGCATAGCAAGCCTTCTTTGCTTGCGTGACACTCATAAGCATCAAGAGGAACTGACCGCTCAAATGATTTTTTCTGGGTGCTAACATTTGTTTTTGTATTTCTATACAGTCCCACATAGTGTCAGGATGGTGAAGAGAAGGCAGGCAAAGCCAAAGGCATTAACAGTCATGGCACTGATTTTGTGGCACCTTTTGTGGCATACATTTATATGAGCATCATCTCTCATAGGTCAGCTGCTTCATCAAATGCAAGGGGTTGTCAACCAGAATGACATACATCTAATGAAATGAGCTACTGTCCTAAAACCCAATGCCTTTAAATGCTTTTTCTGCAACAGGTCAAATTATGCATTAAATGTGTGTTTCCTGCACTTGCAAAGGATTTCCTTCAAAAATGCAATTCCTTAAAATTTTGTTTCCTGCACTTGCAAAGGATTTCCTTCCTTTAAATTTCTATGTCGAAATAATCAGACTTGAAAATGCAATCCAGGTTAGACATTGCAGGCAACGGATCCGAGGTATGATCATGAATGGTTACTTCTTAAGTTTACTTTGATTCCATGTTCATTGCCACAATGAGAGAGAGAGATCTTCTACCACAGATATCAGAATAGGTAGCTAGATCTGGGTGCTCTGCACCTTGACGTGAAGAGGACGGGAATAAGTATTTCTGTCTTGAGTGGCAAAACATTTCAGATCCAGTCTGCTAAACACAAATAGATCAATAGGTATGAGTCTCTACATTGAAAGAAACAAGGAAATGAAAAATTTAATTCTGATAGGTGCTTTTGATTCAGCTGTAGGATACTGGCCAAAATCCTGCTACTTATTTCTGACGGCTAGTCAAATGGTATAAATCATAGCAGCAAGTTCCAATAAGGAACATAAACACAGATTTTTTTTAAAAAAAAAATGGCAATTCAACAATGCAATTTTTTTATTTGCTTTACCCTGGCTTCTATTAATTCATAGGATTCTGCCCATCATGTGTGTAAATATTAGCTGATTCACATTTTAAAGTTGATTGTTAAAATTAAAAACAATATTTCAGTTGAAAGCCATACTTCTCGACTTTGTTTGTGGCATGCTGAATGTTTGCCACCCTGATATTAAGAGCTATAAAATGGGATTTTGTTGGACCTACTCTATTTGTGACTTACTCTCAGATTCCAGCTGTTATCTCTGTAAGTATGCTGTGTGATGATTTCCCTGTGTCCCAAGCAACCTCCTTTTTGGTCTTTCTTCCTGTATGCATGCATTCCCTAGCATAGCTTTCATAGGAGAAGTATGTGGAATCCAAAACAATTGTGTTCCATGACAACT